AGAAAATAAAAGGAGGGCATGGAAGAAAGAGGCCTTTTAGTCAGGAGACTAGACCTTTTTACTGTTGGTATTTAGTAATACAAGCAAGCATTTTCATTTATTACTTTGATAAAACAACATATACAAAGTTTAAGATTTTTTAAAAACCAGAAAACCCACATTCCAATGAAATCTATTCAAGACAAACTGAGTCTCTGTCAGCTCTTTGATGAGAAACTGAGTTTTTAAGATGCAACGAGAAACACTGGTCAATAGCTTGCCAAGAACCAGATGCACTTGATGAAGTTATCATTTCATCACACCAGTATTATCCACCACCAATGTGCCTTTGGAAGTAAAAGAAATCATTTTTAAGTGTTATTAGTCTAAATAAATGTGCAAATTAAGACAATATCATATTCTGAGCAATACAATCAAAAACTAGTTTTTCTTTTAAAAAGAACTGTCACAGAATACTCATATTCCTGAAAAGAACAAAATACATATATTTGCTTTTATTTTATAGCTTTTGAGAAGCTACTTGCAAGCCAAGTGCAAAGCTGCCTACAGGTGCACACATCAGAATAATCTAACATTAAACTGACCCTGCCTAGAGCAGATCACATGTGCTCTTAGAGAAAAATATTGGAATTACAACATTCACGAGACTGTATCCTAAACACAAACTTCATTTGCTACTCATATATTTTCAGACAAGTCAAAAAGACTCCCTCCATTCATGGCTGACAGATTTCATTAGGAGATGTCCTAATAAAGCTGATAATTAAGATAAATCTAAGGCTGCTAAAGCAAAAACAACTTGTAAGGAACACCTGAAGTGGCTTAGATGGTATAATTTACAATCTTTTCTCATTGCCCTGTTTTATTTCCTTCATAGCAAAAAAAGTGCAATGGGTAACTAACTTATTTGTCTACTTACAATCTAAAATAAATATCTAGAATGTCACTGCATGGGGCAGGGGTCTTAGCTGTGCAGTTCATCACAGTAGCCTCCAGGCCTGGTTCATTCCAGGTACTCAACATTTGTTGAATCGACACACATAAAACTGAATATGTATAATGTGTTTCTTTTTAGAACTAAACACTGTATATATACACATTATGCTTAGTATAGACATATTAATATAAAAACAGAACAAAAAAAATTAATACAACCAAAGATGGAAAAAAGCTATCATTCAGGCTATACGATAAGGCTATATATCAATCAGGCTAAGCTGGATTATGGTATTGGTACTCAAGATGACTAAAAGTGGACATAAGTATTCATCAGGCAAAAAATATTTAAACATGTTTGAGTTCAAATGCAGAAAAGCTGGACTGTGTTGGTTTCTATAATTAGCCACCTTATGTCTTCCTAATCTATTTCCAATAGGCCATCCTTCTATTTTTAAAAAAGGTATCATTTTTCAAAAAAAGGCTGCCGGAAAAATGTGAGCTTCATTTACAATTAAAGTCAGAGTTTGGTACTACATAAAAATGAAATTGTGCCCTGACCAGTGTGACTCAGTTGGTTGGCCATTGTCCTGCAAAGGAAAGGTTGCTCGTTGGATTCCTAGTCAGGGCACATGCCTGGGTTACAGGTTCAGTCCCTGGTCAGGGCACATATGGGTGAACCAAATGTGTTTCTCACACAGGTGTTTCTCTTCCTCTTTCTCCCTCCCTTCCACCTCTCTAAAAATAAATAAAATCTTAAAAATGAAATCGTGTGTTTTTAAGAACCTCAAACCCAATTCACTAAGTTAGCACTGAGTACCAAGAACTTTCTCCACACATTCAGTATATAACTTTCATGGGTAAATAAAAAGTGATCCTCGAAACAGCTCAAAAGCTCATATAAGTTCCTTTCTCCATATATTCCAATAAATTCCTTGGGGGACCAACCTCACGAGTAACACAGGAAGAGCCTTGTACTCACTTGCTGCCACGTTAGCTTCAGCCTTTCATACTGCTCTTTGCCATCTTCTGAGCAATCCGAACAAGTAAACCTAAAAAAATTATCACCCTTAAGGTAACTGAGCTGTTCCCTTAGCTGACCTAGGAGAAAAACAAAAACGTGTATCATAGAGCTGTGGTAACCCAAATGTTTAATTTTTATCAACCAGATTTTCCAAGTTTTCTATGCTGTTTTTCTTTTCCTCCCCCCCCCCCCGCCCCAGCCAATCCACAGTAGAAGGCAGGGGAGGGAGTAGATTTTTATTTTTTCCAAAACCAAGCATGTGCCCACTTAAGATCACTAGTTCCCTTACTTTTACGAGAAAGATACTAGGCAAAGCTCACTTGTTGCTCACTGGATTTTCCAGCTATTAACATTCCTGACTCTTACAGGTCTCTTTACATATTCAAACAATATCTGAACACCCACTAAGTATCAGGCACTAGGACTACTATGCCCAAGGCAGGTATAGATAGTAACTGTTCTCAGTAGCTTATAAATTCTGTAAGAGAAACATGAAGAAATGGGAAATCACAACAGTACAGTAGTTCTCCATCCTCACCAAACATCAGAATCACCTAGGGAAGGTTTTTGGTTTTTAATATGCATTGGCCTACCCCACATGAAATGAATCAATCTCTTAAGTGGGGCCTGGGTCTGCATTTTTTAAAGTTCCCCAGGTGGCACATATTCAATTATTAAGACATGAAAATCACTGTGGTGCTAAGGGCAATGTGAGGGCACATAAAAGGGGTGCATGACCCATACTGAAAAGATAGGAGAGCTAGAAAAAGTGAGCTCTTCAGGATAATTAGAATTGGCCAGGGGAAGAGAGATGCTTGTGTATGTGGGGACTGGAGGCTATAGTGATGCATATTCCAGAAAGGAAATTTAAATTTGCTAAGTCCTAAGGATAAAAAAGATTTGTTTGTAGAGAGTGATTGGGTTGGCCAAAAAGTCCATTTAGTTTTTTCCATAAAATAAAAGACACATTTTTTCATTTTCACCAATAACTTTATTGATTTGGATTATTTTGAGCATGTCAGTTATCTCCCACTACTGGTTTCTAGTGCGTTGAGGCCAGGTGTGCTGCTAAACATGTTTCAATGCATAAGACAGCTCCACAGCAAACTGTTTGGTCAAAATGTCAACAGTACCAAGAAACTTCACAAACCACTTTTGATACATCCTTCATACACTGCACAAATCTTTTATTTTTCATTTCAGTCGTATTCTTACCTTTCTTAAAATAATAAAGCGTAACAAGTCAAAAATGTTGCTTATTTTCTTCCATCTTCAGTATTAAAATGGCTACACAAATTTTCACCAATTTTAATTTTTTTAAAGCACACTGATATGACAGCTGATTTTCACAATACAATCAAAGAAAATTGTTTCAAATGAAGATAAAGACATCTAAGCACAACTAGAACCATCTTACAGAAAAAAACTAAACGAACTTTTTGGCCAACCCAATAAAAGCTCCCCCTAACAAAGTTCTCTTTATATGTGAGGATAAGAAAAATCTAAAGAGAGAGGCTAAAGAAAGTAGCAAGGGCACAATCATAGAGTGCAGTTGAAAACGTATCCTGTGAAAACAAGGGGAAAGCTACTGAGATCTTTAGGCAGGACCCTGAACTAATAAGCAGAAAGAGCTCACGAGTAAAAACCACCTAAGATGTAATAAATTCTAGGTTTGTCTTCTATGAAAAGTTATGTATTAGCAGTAACTATTACCTAAATAGATGAGTCTTTAACAAAAACATTTCTACACACTAGAAAATGCCCTACTTCACAATTACAAATATAAAACATTTTTTTCTCTGACCTGGTTACGAATTCCATTACACAAAGAATTCCTCTAGTACATATATCTTTACTGGTCTCCACCTAATAGAAAAATCTTTTTTTTTGTAAAGAGTCATGATGACTGGTAAAGTATACTCTTCCTTAAGAACTAGGAAGCTAGCAGTTGAAAAGATTGAGTTGAAAAATTAAAGTATCAGGGAAGCATGTGTGTATATATCTCTTGCCAGTGCATCAAAGAGGCCAACAAGTAGAAAACAAGAATAGTCCTAGAAAAAAAGGACAAAACACTTTTACTCTGCTAATTCTAGCCTTACGTCAGCATACAATAGCAGTTTTCCATTAAGGTAAATATTAAGAGTAATTGTTATGAACTTGAACTTTAATTCTACACTAGGCCTAGAATTTGGCTTCAAATTCTTAATACAGCCTTGTTGGAAAAATTTGGCTAATTCTTTAAGTAACACAGAATTTACAATTTTCTAATTTTATTGAATTACCATCAAGAACATTTTACAACCTGATAGATGTTGACAGTGATTTTTGTTAGAATAAATGTGTTTTATATAAATATAGTTAATAAACTAAATATAAATATAATAATTATCTTTTTATTTGGGTCTATTTTACATTCATGTTTCTTTCATAGGTTAGAAAAACAAATCACATAGAAACCAACAAATCAAAGGAATCAAGAAGTTTCTTACTGGCTGGTATCCATTTTTGGCATTTGTCACAGAAGTAGGACAGCTGCTCCTCCATCCAGGATACATCTCCTTCATCACTGTTGAGGGAATCCCCACTATGATCATGAGACAAGTCCACTGATGCCTGGTCCTCTGATTCAACAATCAGCAGAGTCTCCCCCTCTACTTCACCCTCCTCCAGTCCTTCTGAGGTAGATGTTCTTGTGGCTTCATCATCATGGCGACTTATCAAACTACTCAGGTGAATGTTACTATCCATCCTTTTTCTCTCACAAGTCAGAAGTGCTTTTTATAACAATCCTAAGCTCTGGACACCACACTTCAAGGGACTTTTATCAGGATTACAAACAGAAACTCTTCAGAAGAGCACCCACTTCTGTACTCAGATGTAATGAACTTCTAAAGCAATAATTTAGATTATGCAATCCATTGTCCTTGTACTTGACTGAGTTCAAAAGAACAGTGACCAAAAAAAAAAAGGAGGAAGATCTCACTAAGCTATTCTCCATCAACACTCACACACACACACTCAACACTACTTATCCCACCAATATTTCACATTCATTTCAAGTCATGCTTTTTGACATCCTTTGCCAACAATGTCTTCTCTCTCTCTGCTTCAAGTTGCTCAGTCAAAATAATCTGTTCTCCCAAAAGGCGAATGTTTTCTTTTTTCCGATTTTGTCTCTCAATGTCTCTGATCACTCCGTCACGAAGCCTCTAAAAATGTAAGAAACAGATTTCAGTAACACCTTGAACAGGTGGTTCCATCCTTGTGCCATTCAAATCCAAATAACAGCATTACCAAAATACACTTAAAACTTTCAGACTCTATTTTAACTTCTGCATAAATGTAAAATGTAATAAAGGAACCATCAAATTAATCTGGTAGTGTGCTATCATGTGTGCTTAAATGTGCTTCAGTGTGCTTAAATGACTACTTAAGTATTTTACGAAATTCCTGAATATTCAGTATAGAACGTTTAATTGAAAATAACAATTTAAAAAGAGAAAACTGGTACTGTGTTGAATTTCAAAAGTTTGATATATGACACTTAAAAAATTGGTAAGAATTACTACAGTAATTCTCTGAACCTTTTTTTAAAAAAAATATTTTATTTTTTTATCTTTAGAGGGGAAGGGAAGGAGAGAGGGAGAGAAATACAATGTATGGTTTCCTCGCATGCATCCCCCACTGGGAACTGGCCTGCAACCCAGGCATGTGCCCTGACTGGGAATCGAACCACAGTCTTTTGGTTTGCAGGCCCGCGCTCAATCCACTGAGCTACACCAGCCAGGGCTTGAACTACTTTTTATTCTAGTTGAATAATAAATACCAATGAAAAAGAGACTACTAAAATATGAACAAGCAAGCTGTAAGGTGCTGTAAGAAAGTAAAAAACCTATCTTATGATATATGAGAAAAAATTTAAATTATACAATAGTATTAGTCAATTACAAAACAGAGAGAGAAGGAAAAAATGCTACTAACAAAGGGAAAAATAAAGATCCATCAATGTAGTTACCTTGTTAAGCACTAAAGAAAGGTAGAACATTCCAGAACATGGACCTAGCACTTAAGAGGAGACTTTTTAAACCATCAATCCAGTCATGACCAACATGTTATCATTACAAGTCACTAAATGCTCTAATAGGTTTTTAACAGCAGCTTTGCAAGGCAGAATTAATGGAGATAGGTCCCGGGGTCTGAATATTTTTGTAATTATTATTTTGTCTATTTGAAAGACTCAACGAGTATCTACCTGCTGGACCTCCTCCAGCCCTAGAATTTCACTCTATGTTATGGGGGAATAAAGAGTCAAAAAACTAATAACTTAACTGAAAACTAATTTTCTTGACCCCTGAACCCTTGGCAAGACCTCCAAAGACAGAAGTGGAGGTACTCATTCCACTCCACCCTCCCCAATTCTTCCTAACCAGTGCTCCTCATACCACTACATACCCACACACCCACTCCACCCCCTAAAGCCCACACCTTCTACTGGCATCACTCCACACCTGCCTGAGAGCATCATACCCTGCCTTTTCAGAGACTTTAGCATATACTTAGGATCTTATTTCCATACATCATTTGCTATCTTCCTCCAAGTTTCACTGTTTATGCTGAACTGCCTCCAACATCTTTCCTGTGATGTGCACTTTACTACCCTACCACCGACTAAGATCTCTTCACTATTCCAATTCTAACACCTAGAACTCTGGCTCCTCATGTATTACTTGTTTTTCTGGGTTCCTGTGAGAATTAAAGATGATGTATATAAAGTTCTTAGTGCAGTGTGTGGTACATAGTAGACTGTGAAGAAACAACAGTCATTATGTCTTGCTTCCCTTGAATCCTCCTACATACCCACCCATCAATCATTTGGCCAATTCTTTCCCACTGCTAGAAAGTAAGCCCACAATGAATAACTGAATATAAGATAAACACAGGTTATTCTGGTCAATTTTTTCTTCATTTCTAACTTCCAAAAATCTTAATCTTCCTTTCTTCCACCCTCCAACACAGTGATTCTCAACCCTGGCTGAGAATCCCCTGGGTCGCTTTTAAAACATAAGCAGGATCCCCATCACCAAGAAATTCTGATTTAACAGGACTGGAGTAGTGCTCAGCCTCAGCTACACTGTAAAAACTTCGCAGGACCATCGGGGGTGTAGCCAGGTTTCAGAACTAAACTCTAATAACCCAACACTACCTGACACTCTCTGATATTCCCTGTTCACTGACCACAGAACAATATCTCACATAACCATATTTCTACCTCTGTTACAAAAGCTACCCTCTTAGAAACCCAAATCTCTAGTCTCTTCCACACCCTTTCATCATTAATCATCCCTTTCCTCCCTCCGGAGAATTCATGTATCTTTACAGGCTTCCTCTCTTCTGATTTCCTTGGACTATGAACACGGAGGACCAAGACCTCATCTGCTTCACATCTGTATAGGGAGCACGCAGCAATAGCAAAGGCTTTTTTGGTAACTGATTACTTCCACCTTAGGCAAACTAAGCTCAACCAAAAACTGCACCAAGGTATTCTGTAACAGTTCACCAACGACCTAGTTCCCGTTCTCACACTCAACGTTCAGCACAGTTTTGAATCAGTCTCAAGAATAGTATGATTTCTTATCTTTGATCCCCAAAAGTGCCTGGTATGGTGCCGGGCACACAGGGAACAGTCATTAAATGTTTGCTAACCTTAATAAGAAAGAAAATATGGGCCGAGAAACTCTAAACGGACGGTCAGTCCACTGATTATTAAGTCTTCTTTATAGAAATGAGTATTTTTAAAGATAATTTGGAGGCTGGTATCGCTAACGTTCCCAGAATCTAGTTTTCATAGCAAAATTCCACCCCCCCCACCCCCCGCAGTAAAAAAACAATGTACAGGCATCTCACCAAATTACCTTGGCCATAGGCATGAAGGAAAGTGCGCGGTGCTTTTTTTTTTTTTTTTTTTTTACAAGATAAAGTCTTATTAGTATTTAAACGCAGTAGGACCCAACCTTGGGCCTGGAGGTGGAAAGGCTGGTATCCCGCTGAATGTACCCCAAGGAAATCCCTTCTCCTACTCCACTTTTCTGCGATCTCACTAACATTCTGGAAGGTCGTAACAGGACTGGGTGGCTGTGACTTGAACGGCTGTCCCGTAACGGGATAGCTGGCCACCCCACTGGCACGCGTTTCAGGGAGCCATGCAAATTCAGCGCCGAGGGCTGGGCTCCCAGGAGCCGGCCTGGTCAGGGTGGCCTTGGTCTCGAGGACGCACGCGGCCTGGGGGCTGACGCATCCAGGACCGAACCGGCTGACCGCAGTCGCCAAAACGTGAGGGTGCCGGGTTGCAGCAGAAAAAAGGAGAGAAGGAAATACCAGGACTAGCTGGAAACCACGCGGTGAGCCCAGGGCCGCCACCGCACCGGCCCCGGAAGAGGCCGTCACGTGACACCCACCTGCAGGTCCTGCCGCTGCTTCAGATGCACGCCGGCCACAGTGGCCACTGTCAGCACCACCGAGAGGCCCAGCACCAGCTTCGAGCTCCTCGACATCCCCACGCCGGCCAACTCTGCGACCCTCGACCACCCTCGTGGTGCCCTAACTGCCACAGGCCAGCGTGCGTCACTGACGGTGTGAGTCAGAACCAACAAGTAGAACGCAGAGCTCCAGTCACTTTGACTGCTGCCCGCCGCCGCCAGGCACTAGCAATCAAGAGCCGAGCGGCGACCCGGCTCCTTGGGAAGTGCAACTTTGGTCGAAGCCTGGGGGAAGGAGGGATGTCCCTCTAACCTGCGGACGGCTGGGTTGAAACACTCCCAATTCAAATTCTAAAGAAGAGCCGGGGCCCAAAGCTGGGGGTGGGGTGGAGGGGTTCCAGGCCTGAGCCACTGAATTTTATCACCCTACCACCAGCAGCGGCAGAGACCGTCGGGCTTGGGTGGAGGGAGGAATCCTACTGAGGTGCGTCGCTGACTCAGGTGCTGTTGCTCAACACCAGCTTCACCAAACTCACCCTTCATTGTCCCTTTGAGGGGGGACGTGCCACCAGGAGATGAGTTTTGCTAGTTAAATGTCGTAGACACAGTCACCTGCTTTCGACTTGCTGATTTTCTTAATCAGTCTGATTTTTCTTAAAATCGAAAAGCCTTCTTGCTAAAGAGCATGCTAACTGGGCAGAGACACTGCCTTGCCTCCTGATATGAAAAGCACTGGTCACCCCCTTGCCCATGTAATCCTTAAGAGATCACTTTTACACCCTTAGAGGCTCAGTTCCCGCCATTTTTAAGACTGTGTTCATGAGCCCACATCACTAGGAACATAAATGATGGGAATGGAGTGCTTCGAAGATATTGTAGCTTTAGGGACTATGGGCCAAGGCATAGAAAGATGTTTCGCTTTCTAATAAAGAGATAATCTCGATAAATTATTCTTTTTTCACTAGAATTCACAGAGAACAAACTTCTTCCTGTGGAAACAACTTTGGATGATATTAATTTGGGCTTGGTCTCAGCCTCACCCTAAGGGCTTCTTCCACGTTCATCTTTGTAGTGCTTTGCTATTCCAGCCTATGTTATGCAAGCATAAATGGCATGAAGCGATACTGCTCTTAGGAAATGTAGTATAATGAAACTTTAAATAATAGAAAATTTTCAAATACCCTTATCAAATGTCATTTTGTCTGTAATATGTTTCTCAACCTGAGGAATGTGTCATTGAACTGGAAAATGGGGTTTCTGCCATAACAGACCTTGAAGTTAGAAGCAATTTAATTTGGGGTGTATTTGCATATTTCTGTAAGGAATAAAAATTATATTATGCCACTTTTAATTGTGGTCTTCTCCACATATTTTTTCCATCTAAGGCAGTGAACCTTCAACATGTCCCTAGACTGTGGCCCAGAGAGTTAGGTGGTCTTTCATTCTATGATCACTATTTTTTTCAACTTGTCTTCTTGGAATATTTTGTTATTCTACTTTTGAGTGATCCTTTACATGGTAACAGTGTCATATTAAAAAATGGATAATCCATTGAAATATTTATAAAGCTAGGCAAGATGTATTGTGTTATTATTGTCTTAAATTACTGGGTTGTGAGAGAATGCATGCGATCAAATGCTGAAACCCACTTTTTTATTCATTAAAATAATATCTGTCTAGTCTAAGTATATTTTTAAGTGTGCCCAGTATGTTTAAACAAAAGCAGTTTTCTGAGACAACTTGAAAAGTTTCTGCTAATGAATACAACAAGTCCAGACTTGCTGATTGGCCTTTTTTCCCCAAGAAACTTTGACTGAATGCACTAGGAGAAATGGATTCAAGGTACCCCTGCCCCCATGCCATCCCTCAAGCAGCTCATTTCCTGAGAAGAAGACAGACTGGCATATCAGAGAGTCACAATAAAAAAAAAAAGTTTACAAGTAGCAATGTATAGACGGCATGTTTGTGTCTCCCTCTCCCTCCACATTCTTATGTTGAAATGGTAACCTCCAACGGCAGATGGAATGGTGTTAAGAGGTAGAGCCTTTAGTAGATAATTAGGTTTAGATGAGGCTATGCGGGTAGATTCCCTGATGACAGGATTAGTGTCTTAGTAAGAAAAAGAGACTAGAGCTTGCTCTCTCTACCATGTGAGGACACAGCAAGAAGGTGGCCATCAGCAAATGAAGAAGAGGACCCTCACTAAAACCTGACCATGCCTAATACCAGTGGCTTGACAGGCTGGAGCAGAGAGGCAGCATGGGAGGGAGCCTGCACTGAGGCAGGGGCAGCTTTACTGCCCTGGTAACCAAGCAAACACTCCCTGAAGTCCTGCAGCTAAGCATGTGGATGGAGGCTAGCAAGAGTTATTGACAGAGGGAAAAGCCCTCCATTCTCTTTCCCTTCCTGGATGTGGGTGGGACCAGGGAGCAGCTGCAGGTGTACCATATAGGTCAATATGATAACAAGGGGAGATGCTGTCCTGTCAGTCTAGCCTGAGAAAAGGACAGATAGGCTAGGGAAGCTGAACCCTCCCAGAGTGCAGAGAAGCTTGGGCTGGGAGATTTAAACCAAAGGAAGGGAGAAACGCACTCTCTTCCTCTGGAACCCACTATGTGGCCTGAAGTGGGCTGAACCAGTTTTAAATCGGCTGGTCCCAGAAGACATGTGGACCATAGTGGGTCTGAAAAGAAGGGAACCCGAGGCCCTGTAGTGATGAGGAAAGAGGCCAAACTGCTTGGATGATCATGCTGCTGCATTTGCAATTCCAGAACAGTATTTTGAATGGGAGAAGGAACTCCAGGCACAGCCTTGGACTGGTCTGGCAGGGGGTGGCTGGGTTTTCCTCTGGGTGCTCTGTTGGGGAAGGGCTTTGAAGAAGGAGGCTGCCATCCTCCCAGACTGTGCAGCTTTTGAATAAAAGATCTCTTTCCTTTTCTCCCAAACCTTTGCCTCCAGCATTTGTCCATGGGTGGTGGCAAGCAGCAGAACCCCAATTTCTGTTCAGTAACATGCCAGCAACTTAATCTTAGATATCCCAGGCTCCAAAGCTATGAGAAATAAATTTCTGTTGTTTAATCCACCCACTCTACAGTTTTGTTGTTGTTGTTGTTATTGTTGTTATAGCAGCCACAGCTAAGACAGCAGTAGACTATTCCCCCAAAGTTAAGTGTGGGTCTAGATCTACTGCTCTAGGGTCAGTATTGCTTGACACAGAAGATTCAAGACCCAGTGCTTTGTCTGAATCTTCCACCAACTCTCTTCCAGCAACCAGGTGCTGGGTGGTCTTAAATTTCTCACTCTCTTCCTCTCAGTGGTAAAAGATCCCTAATGTTAATTAAATGGAAAATTCCTCCCTAACTGTTGGAGACTCTAGGTGAAAGGTGCTTCTGAAATAATCACAGTAATACGTACAGATAGAGTTTCTATTACAAGAGCTAAGACTTAAAATTGAGGCCCACCCATCCACAGGGAGGGCAAAAACAAAATTACTTCATAATATTAGCAAACAGCACAATTCAGGCACATATTTGAGAGCTGTTTATCCTTCAGGTAGCATTTCCCCATTTCCAGCCACCCCTCAGCCCCTGGCAACCACCATTCCACAGTGCTTCTGTGAGATAAACTTTTTAGATTCCACATATGAAAATATAAAAAGCACTTGTCTTTCTGTGCCTGGCTCATTTCTCTTAGAATAACATTCTCTAGGTTTATCCATGTTGTTGCAAATAAGAGGATTTCATTCTTTTTATGACTGAATAATATTTCATTGTGTATATATACCATAGCTTCTTTATACATTCATCTGTCAATGAACACTTAGGTTATGTCTACATCTTGGATATTCTGAATAATGCAGCCATAAACAGGAGAATGCAGCTACCTTTTTGAGATCCCAGTTCCATTTCCTTTGAACATATACCCAAGGATTGCTCAATCATAAAGTAGTTCTATTTTTAATTTTTTGAGAAACCACCATACTATTTTCCACCTTGGATGTACCGATTATATTTACAGTGCACCAATTTACAGAGCACGAGGGTTCCCTTTTCTCCACATCCTCACCAACACTTGTTACCTCTTATCTTTTTGATAATAGCCATTTTGACAGGTGGGCAATAACAGCTCATTGTGGTTGTAATTTGCATTTCCCTGATGATCAGTAATACTGAATACCTTTTCATATACCTGTTGACTATTTCAGTTATAAGATGAATAAGTCTGGAGATCTAACATACACCATAATGACTGTAGTTAATACTATGTGTATACTTGAGATTTGCTAAGACAGTAAATCTGAAGTGTTCTCACCTCATACAAAAATTATGTGAAGTGATGGATGTGTATGATTAGCTTGATTATAGTAATCATTTCACAACATATAAGTATATGAAATGATCACATTATACACCTTAAATATGTACATTTTTGTTTGTAAATTATGCCTTGATAAAGCTGGAAACAAAAGAGATTTTAGATATTTTTTAAAGCACTAAGAAGAAAAATTATTTACGTATATACACACATACTCAGGAAAAAAAGAAACAAAGTTCTGGTACATGCTACAACATAGAAGAATCTTGATATCTTGAAAACATTATGCTAAATTTAAAAAAAAGCATACTCATGCCCTGGCTGGTGTGGCTCAGTGGGTTAAGTGCTGGCCTGCAAACTGAAGTGTTGCTGGTTTGCTTCCCAATCAGAGGAGATGCCTGGGTTACAGGCCAGGTCCCCTGTTGGACAGGTGTGAGAGGTGGCCAATTGATGTTTTCCTCACACATCAAGGTTTCTCTCCCTCTTTCTCCCTCCCTTCTCCTCTCTCTAAAAAAATAAATAAAATCTTTTTAAAAACTAGTCACAAAAGACCAAGTATTGTATGATTCTATTTACATAAAATGTCCAGAATAGGCAATGTCATAGAGATAGAATGTATTGATTGAACACTTGTTGCCAGGGGCTGGGAGTGTTGAAAGATACAGACTGCTAATGGGTTTCATTTTGTGGAGATAAAAATGTTCTAGAATTAGATCATGGTGGTGCGTACACAAAACAGCTGATTTGTAAAACTTTAAAAGGGTAAATCTTATGGTATATCATTATTTTAATAAAGCTATTAAAAGAATGTGAAAAACAAAGCTGTTTATATATAAAAACTCATTTC